GCCACGTGTCCGAGCTAGTTGTTAAGACAGCCGGCAGACTTATAAACAAATCATTTCTTGTCTCAAATCTTTTTTTAGGAGAGAGAAGCTCTAAGAGGAGGAAGAGATTCTTGAGTGAGAGAGTCTCCCAAGTTGATCTTGTGGCTTGAACCGTAGATCCAATTTTGAGGTTTGTAAATCTTGGTCTCCTTTGGTTGTTCTTGCTGATATCTAGCTGCATTGCATGATCGGATTTGTTTTGCATGTCATGCATCGTTTTGAAGTTGGTTTTGGAAAAGAGAAAATGGTTTCCATGTGTTCTTGAAAAAGACTCATTTTTATCGAAAGGTTTAGAACGAAAACCATGTTTTGTGTTTGTTCTTGCATGACTTTCTTGAACGGGTACCCAGGTCCCTATTTAAACTCTGGCATGAAAACTCAGATTTTGTAACAAGTTGTGAGCTTGCATCCATCTTCCAAATGATCATGTTCTTCTTATCTTCAAAGGAAAACCCAGGTTTTTCCTGACTTTGTTTAACGGGACCTCGGCTTAGACCTGGACGGTACCCAGTGTGCTTTCGAGAAACGGAGCAGTGATTAAGCTCCCAGCTTGTTTTGCTTTGTCTTTGACTTGGATCTGGCAAGAGTGCCGAGATCATTGCATGTATTTAGAGCTTGCTTTGAGAATGTGACTTGCCATGTGATTGTAGGTCCTTTGATTTTGCTTGAATCTACACCTGAAGAACTAGGTGAGTGGTATTTCTAATAAAGCTATGTTACACTCGCTTTTGATAAATCTTGTTTGTTTGTTTTGACGTGTATTTGCTAAGCATGAATAAATGGCCTTGTTTGATTGTTATCCTCGAAAGTCCCTTGTGCTGGAGGACTCTAAACTTTTGCAGTACTATGTGTAAAAAGGATACGGTCCTTGTTAAATCGGGCTATGGGCCTAGTAACACAAGTCCCTTGTACTGGAGACTCTAAACTTTCGCAGTACCAAGTGCACAGTCCCTTGTATTGGAGGACTCTAAACTTTTGCAATACTTTTGACCAAACGATTACGATCGTACAGCCTTATGATACTGGTATGATGAATACGGTCATCCCTTGCTTCGCCGATGTTATGATACTTGAATGATGAATACGGTTCATCCCTTGCTTCGCCGATGTTTATGATACTTGAATGATGAATACGGTTCATCCTTGTTTTTCCTATGTCAGTGAACATCTTTGGTTACTTGTATAATTGATTGATGAATACGGTTCATCCCCTCTTGCTAAAGTTGATGAGTTTGTTTTGAAGGACCTCGGCTTTATTCATGCAAAACCTTTATTTTTGTACCATTCACTGAGTTTTGTACTCACCCCTCCTATATATATGTAGGTGATAGCAGGACGGCGGCGACGCCTAGATCGTTTTGGATGCTTGTTTGGATTCGTGCTTATGTCGGCTTTGCTTTGTATTACGTCGGCAATCTTGAAAATCATGCTTCTTGACTATATTAGCTGTATTTTGTATATGTCGGCTCAAGAAGCCTTTTGATCAAGATGTAACATGTAATTTTTACCTTGTTGTATTTAAGTTGTAAAATTAATTGGAATGTTTGGCATTGCTTGATCTACTTAAATTACTTAGGCTATCTCATTTGACTTATGCACAGCTCTTATGGACGACTTGTATTTTGATTTACTTCTTCCGCATTTGTGAGCCCCTATATCCTTACTCTGATTGTGTTAAGTTTTGAAAAGTTGGCCTTCGGTAATTACGGATTACTGGCCATCACGGCACCAAACTACTAGGGGCGGTTTGGGGTCGTGACAAATAAGGACTTTCCATTTTTTCAAATGAATGATTTGAAGATCTAACGATTCTAACAACTGATTGCAGAGTTAATCATTTTAATTCATAGATGTAGATCTTGGACCTATGAATGGGGACATTCTCAAAACTCAAAGAAAAAAGGAAGTGAGGTAGACAAAAAGAAAATATACCTGACAAAAAAAGAAGAGACTAGGAGAAAAAGTCGTTCTAAGGCACAGCACGCATCAGGGATAGCAGGCAACAAGGAACTGTAGGAACAATCTTCTGTGTAAATAAAATAACTTGAAATAAATTCAAACAAAATAAATAAATAACATACTGGATTTATTTATCGAACCGAATTAAAATTAAGACCAAGTCGAGTGTGTGACACTCTGTCCTTAAGACAGATTCGCCCCGCTATGGTACTTACGGTTGAGTGGCGTCTATCTCCCAGGATACAATGATCTTCACAAATTGTAGTAGTACTCTAAACAATTTGTACAGCGAGCCAAACCTATGTTCTAACTCTCTGAAATTTATACTAAATCTAATATGAAGAATAATGCAAAAATACAGAATTTAGGACAACCAAAGACAATAATCAGACTAATTTTTTTTTTCCCGACCCTAGATTGCTGGAATCATGGCAGTATATATAGGCAAAAATCCTTAGCCCCGAAAAGGTGCAATCAGAAGTGAACAGATGCACTATTTATTTCAAACAATTTGTCTGACCGTTGGCACTAAGAAAATCAATGTTCAAACAATTTGAAAAGTTGACCGTTAGAGAACTGTTTCAAACTATTGTAACTTTTATTAATTAAACTATTGAATATATATATATATATATATATTAAACAAATTGAATAGTTTAATAAATAAAGTAAGAGGTACAAACTTTAAGAAACCACTTAGGAACCCAAAATTTGAATTTAGAATTAAATTAAATTCCCACAATTACAAACTTTAGGAAACCACTCAGGAACCCAAAATTTGAATTTAGAATTAAATTAAATTCCCACAATAATTTTTATTGAAAAAATTCAAAAGAATTTTTATCAAAGAAATTAATGTTAAACCTGAAAACGACGTCAACTTCCCATTCACTCATAAATGGTTTTGACGTTCCGTCTTCACCGTGTGACTTGCCACGTGGCAAGGAACACGTCACCTCTTCAGACCCACCCCAAAAGATGTTTGAGGCCCACTCAATTTTGACCTCAAAGTCGGCCCAAAATAAGCCATATAAAACACCATTTTTCCAACAGGAACAACAGTGACCACGCTTCCCATTTTATCTCATTCTCTCTTGGCTAACTACATTTTGAGGATTAATCTCATTTATGATCTTTTATTAGATAATAACACCACTAAAAACTCTATCCATCGTCCCAATTTAAACCATATTCAAATGAAGAAAAAAAAAAAAAAAAGGGAAACGAAGTGAAGCATGTGAAAATAAAAATGTTGTTTTTTGTATAAATGTGATAGTTTTATATTTGTAATTTAATCAGAATGTTCCGAGCGTCTCGAAATATGTTTAATGATGTAGACAAATACAATCACCTTATTTAATTTTGATAAATTTTTTGAAAATTGAGTTTTTTACTTTCTTTTTTTTTTTAGTAAATCTTATTAATATTTTAAGTAATTTTTTACTTCTAAATACACATTACTTAGATCCATTTAAAAAGTAAAAAAATTGAAAACAAATATTTAAAAAATTCAGTAAATACAAAAAAAATACGAAAATGTACTAAATTTTTTTTAACTTTTCGTATTTGAATTTTTTTTTTAAATCCATAAATATTATACTTTTTAGGGTGAAGTACCAATAAATCTCAAAATGTGATCTTGTGAACTATTTAGTTCCCTTTTTTTTTTCTTATAAATCCAAAAGTCCCATTAAAGTAGAAATTACAAAAAAGGATTGTCACTTACACGTTTGGGTTTAATTTTTTAGGGATAAAGTGGGTTTCTCCAAATGTGAAATTATATATTTAGGCAATCCGCACTATAGAGGTTTTGGATTTCCTTCCTTTTGGAACAAATCCCACATTAAGAATAAGAACGTAACATTTCAATATAACACAGTAAAAAACTCCTTAATGTATTTTTCCCAAACAAAACAACGTAAAACTCTAAACTTTTCACAAACGTAAAACTCCAATGTAACACACGAAAAAAAAAAATTTGGTGTACTTTTTTCAAACATAACATTCCAATCAATATAATATCAAACATAACACTCTAATATAACACATATAAAAATACTAAAAAACTACTTAATGCACTTTTTCCAAACGTAACACTCACAATTTGAAATTATACATTTACCCAAAGTTTACTAAAAAAATTTTGTACTCCTTTTAGGATGGTTTAAAGAATCCTACACTTTTTAGAATGGTTTGAAGAATCCCACATCATTTTTTTAGAGTGTTATATTGGAATATTATGTTTTGAAAAAGTACATTAAGAAATTTTTTTATGTGTTACATTGTAGTATTACGGTAAAGAGTTTTTTTGGAGTGTTACGTTTGAATGTTACATTAGAGTGCTACAAATTGAAATTATACATTTGTTCAAAGCTTACTAAGGAGTTTTTGTATTCCTTTTGAAATATTTAAAGAATCTCACATCCTTTAGAATGTTTGGAAAATCACATATTTCAAATCATTCCTAATAAAAAAGATTCTCATAAAAACTCATCTCTAATTTGATTCTTATAAGTTATGTATCTTACCTTTCTAGCACAAAAGATTATAAATAAATAAATAAGAAAAAGAAAAAGAAAACAAAACAGAAATAAAGGTATAACTGTAAATCTAATTTTCAAATAATATATTAAATCTACCTTTCTAAAATCAATGGAACTAATTGGTCTATAAGAAAACTCTTAGGACTAATCAAATCACCTTTCTTCAATATGGGATTTATAAGTTAGGTACATCTAAAAAATAAAAAATAAATTTTTTAAAATATTAAAAAAAATGAAGATTTATTAGAAAATCTTTTTTCAAGTAAACGTATCTCAATTAGTCCATAATATATTCTTGGTTTCTCAAACTATATGTTTAAACTACATTTGTTAGGCATTCAGATTACTCAACCTTGGATTCCTTCTAGTTTTCTGGCAATAGTTTCAAATTTGGTGTCAGATATTATACAAAGAATATATATTGCATTAAAGCCATGGAGTGTATCAATTGGTTCTAGATTATGGTGCAGTAGTAAAATATATTCTGTTTTGATTCCATGTTCTAATAAATTTTTGTTCCAATTTCTCTATGATAGTACAAGTATGGTGGAATCCAAGCTGGAATCAATAGTGAAACATTATAAGATATATCTGAACCAGAAAACAGAATTGCGCATGATGAATCTCAAGTGGATATTGTTTCAAGCTGGAATATTGCTAAAAACTTACCTAAGGCAACTCAGGTAGTCACCTAACTATTGTTTCTCTATGTTACTAGTGCTTTTAAGATATAAGTGATATTGACACATTACTTTATGCAATTTAATATGACATAATTAAATTGAATCATTTAATCACAAGCTTCATCAGCTACTATGTATTATTTTATATGATCTTCTTTCTTCATATTCTGACTGATATCACTGTCTTTTGGGCTGTTATACAGGATCATTTCATTTTGATTGTCTCTGAATTTATGTATATTCATGGAAATACGCACGAGAACAAACTGCAATTAGAGCATCTTTAAGGGATGGCAACTTATGCACTCCATCAATAACTGCTGCAGTTGCAAAAACTTTTGAGTCACACATGACAGAATATCTCAGGGAGCAAGTATGAAATAGGATTTAGTTGCCAAAGCTTGTATTAGTTCTTGATTCCTCCTGTTGCTTATATTTTGTTCATGTAAATTGTATTTTGCAGATCAATTCTTTCTTTGCTGATAAACTTCTAAGGATTGTTCGTGATACCATTCTTCATAAGACAAGACATTTAATTAAATCAAAATTCATGGGGTTTGTCTTGATGTTTTTACTACCTATTATTTTTTGGCGAATGTTAAAATATGATTTGTGGATACGTTATTTTGTGGTTAATGGTGATTGGATATTCAATTGAATGGGAAAGTGAATTAATGTTGTATTTGCTACTTGACAGCTATTCATATAATCGGCTTACCTTTTGACAAATGTTCATTTGAATGGGAATGGGAATTATTGTTTCATATCAGTGTTATTTTTCCACTTTATTATAGGTATTTTTTTAGTTCAACCAAATAGAATTAGCACAATTTTAGAAAAACAATTAAAAAAATAAAGATATAATGACGTTTTTCAAAACGCCACTATATGCCAACGGCTAGATTTTTTTTAAAAAAAATAAAAAATAAAAAAAAAAACTATGATGACACTTTTGAAACGTCGCTAAAAATTATTGTGACGTCACTTCCGTTATGTTCCACATTACGCTTTTTAAACGCCTGTAATAATTTAACGACGTTTCTAATGAGCCACAATGCTACAGCGACTGTCGCGTTTTCTGCGTTTGGTGCTAAGCGTCACAAAAAGAATTAGTGGCATTTTTGGCACCTATAGCGCCATTTTTTAAATGCTTCTAAAAGCTAAATTTCCTGCAGTGTAGATACCATATTCATTACGACGAGCTACAAAGATGTAACTTCATGCAAACTCTGGAACAGATAGCAAAAATAAAAAATAAAAAAAGGACCGAATACATAGCGACTGTTTCTTGCAATTTGCTAAAACAAACACAGAACTATATAGAAAAATAAAAGAAAAGCATCATGGAGCTTTTCTCTTCTAAGAAAATGCATAAATTGCATGGCCTAGCTCATTGTGCATAAAAAGAAATTGGCTGAGGTAAACATTCATCTTTGACACAGTTAAATTTGACCGAGTTTGATGGTTCATAAGTATTAATTACGATGGACCTCGTAGCTCAAAATGTTCATAATTGCTTGTATTCCCACCAGCAACAGTAGAACAGAGGCTGTGACAACTGAGATAGTTCTCCACGGATTGCTAAAATATTTACGCCTCAAAGATGCCCAGTGGCTTCTATAGTAGGCCTCCACATCTCTGAATTGCTTAGAGCGGTAAAGATCTCTCATATTGAACTCAATATTTTTTCCCAATTTTTTGAAAAGATGAGCAACACGTAGATCATTGTAGGAGGAATTGGCGATAATTCCATCACAAAGGAATGTAACGTCTCTAGCTGAGTTGATGAGACAACTCATGAAGGCAATATATGCAGAAAAACATGTATGGGTATGTTGGAGGCATTGTTCTAAGGCGGCACAATTGATGAAGGCGGTACTGGTGAAATCATTGATGGTTATAGGTTGGATTTCTATCACCCCTTGGTCGAAATTTATCTCCAAGAAGCTATCAGCAGTGCTTTCGGCTGGGCTGAACTTGATCCCAGTAAGTCGGAGTTGTATCACACATGGCATTGACCGATTACACAATGGGCTACTGTATTCTTGTGATCCATGTGATGTGGAATGAGAGTAAATAGATGCCGACATTGCTTCAAAATATCTTGAGGGTTGGAAGCTTTCGTGAAACAAGTCGAGTAGATGATAGCGTTTCGAAATTTTTGCTCTTTTGAGTGAACTAAGAGACATTGGGAGGGCAGGACGAAAGAATTTTAAAGCTGGCAAAGTAATATTGGTGGGGTTCTCATCTGAAAGAAATTCTCTATGGGGGTCTTGGTCACCATTGCCAATGGAGAAATCATATAGCTTCTGAAGAACTTCAAGCTTAAGGAGGTCTCCCCTGAAGATTGGGATGTTGTCATTTTCAGAACCTTGACTCTCGCAAACTTGATGTAAGAGCTCAACAATAAAACAACCATCAAGTACCATCATATCAATGAAATCTTTGCTTGACATTGGAATGGGCTCTGAGTAACAACTTCTTGCCTCGCTCTCTAATCCTTTCATGGCCTTCATTAACTGGCGTAAATCGACCCCCATTGCCTCCGTTCGAGAAAGCAGGGAACAAAGATACTGGCATTAGTCACTTTCAAATCTTTGGACTTGATTTTTGCCGTGGTGATAAGGGCCTATTGACACCATTTCTGGGTCAATAGCAGCCTTGCTACTGATTTCTCTGAAGCTTTGAGGGGCTCTGAATATGCAAACAGAGCTCCTAGTTTCCGAGATTTGGATTCTGCTTCCACCAAAATCTTCCAAGCGCTTTTGCATGAGAGCAACAAATGCATCATTAATGGATTCCTCTGTTTCATTACTAGATCGAATTGACGATTCGTTGTCACTATCTAATTCTTGTATTGGAATGCAATGATGTTCTATATTCTCCATTTCTTTCCTCTTACTACAACACTAATCAAAAACAATAAGTAAAATAAAATTGTTAATTTCATACGGTATCTTCAACCTGCGTGTAGCAAAAATAATAATAATAATAATAAAACATGTCACTGATGTGAAGGCTATAATTTTTGCTTAGAAAAAGGGATTGGATTGTCTCCAATTGGGCAGTCCAATTAGACCATCCACTCTGGCCCATTTAGGGCCCATTTTGGGTTCATATCGATAATCTAAACCATTCAATATGTAGAACTCGTCGAGTATTTCATCCTTGCAAAAACTCACATTGATCGGATATCGATAGCCACTTGATCAAATCACATTTCTATCAACAAATTTTTTTTTTTTAAATCCTGTATACCATTGATAGAAATGTGAACTGATCAAGTAGTTATGGATATCTGATCAACGTGATTTTTTGATGGATGAAATACTTGACAAGTTCTACACATTGAACAGTTCAAATCGTCGATTTGAGCTTCGTGGTGGGCCCATGAAGGTCCAATAGTGCGGTTTAGTCTAATTAGGACCGGAGGCAAGCCCAGGCTCACAAAAAATATAACTTTAATTACAAAGTGGCATAACTTTGTTATTTGTAACTTTAAGACACCTTAACTTCGGCATCCATTATTTTTACAACAAAATGACATAACATACTATAAATTCATAATTTTCATAATAAAATCATTACTTTTCTTACGATGTATACTTTTAAAATGCACACAAAGTTGGCTCTGAGTTATTCGGGACTCAAGGTGAAATCTTGAAACTGGGCAATAAGTTAAGGTGCACACCTTGACTTCGTCACTCATAATTTTTACAACAAAATGAGATAATACACTACAAATATTTAAAACTTTTCTTATGATGTACGCTTTTAAAGTGCACATAAGGCTCGCCTTGAGTTATTCAGGACCCAAGGTGAAATCTTGAAATTTGACCCTTTTTACATAATTATAAATAAAATAAAAAGTGCTTAGACAAAATGATAACTATTTATGATTTTTTTATATTTGTTAATATCCACACAAATTTTGCTTCCATATATGATCACCATAATTATATGAAAAAAGATTGGGAGTTCTAGAGGAAGAGCTCTAGAGAGTTCTAATGGTGTGTGGGTCTCACAATGATGTGATATTTGTGGGGTAATGCTAGGAATATTAAATTTTTTACCAAATAAAAGACCAAATGTCTCACATGGGTGTGGGGTCCGCAATTGTGTAGACCCGACACCCATGTGAGATATTTGATCATTTATTTGGTAAAAAATTTGGGGCCTAAATCATTTTCCGATGTTTGTATCTTGTTTTCTTTTTTTTTTTCATTGTCATGTCATTAGAGCTCTGTTCAGAGCTTCAAAATTAGGGAATGTATCATTTTTTATATACTAAATTTAGTTACGTTGATCAATGCATGAATAAATCATTAAAATAACTAAAAATAAATAAAAATATGGTTTTGTTTTAGGTAGGGGAAAAATATTGTCTTCTTAATATTGAATATTATAATTAAATATATCAAATAAAATTTGAACAACCACAACAAATTATTAATTAAATATTATTCATATCGTATTTTTAGATGCAAACTAATTAAGCATTCATAATTTTTAAAGGCCTCTTAGCTTAGATTGTGAATTTAACTTAGTTAAATGAAAGCCTTATTTTTTGGCTCACAAATACTATAAAAGGTAAATTATACTTTGCCCCCTTTATGCTTGGTTATTTTTTCACTTTAACCCTTCAAGTTTATTTTTTCTCACTTTAGCTCTTCATTTTTCAAATTTCCCAACTTATTCCAAAAGCTAATTTGTGTCCAAAGTTAAATAGAAAATGACAAGTTGACAACCACGTGACATATGAATATTCTATATAACTTACACCTCTGACACAAACTCAAATTCTAATGTAATAATATATTTTTTAAGTTATGTGATAGTTAACATGGCATTTTCTGTCTAATTTTGAACAAAAATTAATTTTAGGAGTAAATTAAGAAAAAATTAAAACATGAAAGACTAAAGTGAAAAAAAAAATTCAAGGGTTAAAGTGGGAAAATAACCAAACATAAAAGACGTAAAGTATAATTTACTCATACTGTGTTAAAATTAGTTGGGGTTAAGGGTTACTCGAACCATACATGAAATTAGAGAATTAATTAATTATACATTTTAATTTTATTTCTATTAAAAGGTGCTATGATATTTTTAGATTTTTTATGTAACTCCATCTAACTAAATAAAAAAGTAGATAAAATATGAATGTAGAGCATCTCCAATGGTAGTAGGCATTTTACGTTAAGGGTTACTCGAACCATACATGAAATTAGAGAATTAATTAATTATACATTTTAATTTTATTTCTATTAAAAGGTGCTATGATATTTTTAGATTTTTTATGTAACTCCATCTAACTAAATAAAAAAGTAGATAAAATATGAATGTTAGGGTAATAATGTTTTCATTTCAGATACATATATTTTTCGGGCAAAATCCACTTTACCCCTTGTGGTTTAGGCCATTTACACTTTACATTCCTATTATTTGGAAATAGTCACTTACCCTCCTTGTGGTTTTGGACTAAAGTACAACACTAATACTGTTAACGAAAAATGTAAAATGACCTTAATACCCTTCGAATTTTTTTTCAATTTCCTTGCTATTTTCTCATTCTATATCTTCTATTATTCAATTAATTTAATTTGATCACATAATTTTTCTAATTTCTTAACTCCATTTCTAATTTAATCTCATATTACATTATCACAAAAATATAATGCATAAAATCATATAATAAAAAATATATATTATAAATATAAGTATATTTTATATAAGGCAAACTTCATTTTAATCCCTTGTGGTTTGGGCCATGTGCAGTTTACCCCCTAACGTTTGAAAATGACCACATAACCCCCACGTAGTTTGTGAACCAAAGCGCACCGTCCACTTTTCCATCCAAGTTAACTGACTATGTAGTTCAAACACCCATGAAGAGAGTATGCTACATGTTAAGACCAAAATACCCCTTGGACATCTTTAAATTTGCAAAGGCATGCCATGCTTCTTTCTCCTTCTCACTCTACTATTTCTGTTTCTATTTCTTAACTCCAACTCACTGTACCACACCAACTTCTTCTCCCCTCACCAATCTTCCCTCTCTGCGCCACCACGTACCTCATTTCCCTTCCATTCACATGGCTATACCCACATCCCTCTTTATAACTCCATGGCCACTTCAAGTTAATAAGAAAACAATAAAGCTTGGAAGAAAATGTTGGGTTTGCATCAATCAAAATTTTAAAAGCTAAAAATTAATTTCCACGGACGAACAGGATCTATCTTTAGAAGGGACCTTAGGTTCTGTGTATATATTTACATTATATATGCATATATGAATGAAATTTGGGTTGTTGAATGGTGATAGAATGGAGAAAAATTCTTCTACGATGAAAAAGAATATATTCATATTCTGAGTTATTACATAGTCAATTTTCAATTAATGGATAAGCAAATTGTGCCAATATAATTTGATGCCCAGTGACGAAGTTTTTTTTTTTTTTTTTTTTTTTTTTTTTTTTTTTTGAGGAATAGTAACAGACCTCAGCTTACTGTGAATGATTTGAGGAATTTAGTATTTGGATTTAATTTGATTTGTAGAATATTGAATGATGGGATAATATATATGCATTTACAGATTATATACATACATATATAGACAGACTATATATATATGCATTTACTGTTTATGAGTAGTGAGAATGAGTGATTGCTTTTTGGTGTGGAGATGTGTGTGCCGCTTGGATTTCTTGTACAAGTTGGAATGAAATTTGTTAGAGTTGGTAGCATGGAAGGAAGAAGAAAGAAAATAGGTGTGTGTGTGTGTGTGTGTGCGCGCGCGTGTGTGTGTGTTTGTAGGTTTAATTTAAAAGAGAGAATAAAGAAAATGGGGGCATAAAGGTCAATTTACACATTCTATTATATATATATGCATTTACTGTTTATGAGTAGTGAGAATGAGTGATTGCTTTTTGGTGTGGAGATGTGTGTGCCGCTTGGATTTCTTGTACAAGTTGGAATGAAATTTGTTAGAGTTGGTAGCATGGAAGGAAGAAGAAAGAAAATAGGTGTGTGTGTGTGTGTGTGTGTGCGCGTGTGTGTGTGTGTGTTTGTAGGTTTAATTTAAAAGAGAGAATAAAGAAAATGGGGGCATAAAGGTCAATTTACACATTCTATTAACAGAAGTTAGCGTGTATTTCGGTCCATAAACCACATTGGAGTTATGTGCTCATTTCTAAACGTGAGAAAGGTAAACTGCACATAGCCCAAACCATAGGAGGCTAAAGTGAAGTTTGCTTTTTTATATATGTATATATATTTGAAGCAAGTAAACAATATATATATATATATATATAATAGCAATTTGGATCGGTCGTGAGAAGAGGATTTGGAGAGGATGAGAGGGATGCGATTGTAAGTGAATGAGTTGTGGCGGAATTTAAGGATAGATGAGGGGCAAAATTGGAAGAATTCAAGGGCAAGGGTGGAGGAATTAAAGGATTTGAGGATTTTAGAGGCTTCATAGAGGGATAGGGTTAGGGTTTGGAGGTAGTTGGAGAGTTCAAAGAAGGAGTCGAAGGTAGTGGTGGTGGTGGTGGTGGTGGTGGTGATGGTGATGGTGCTAGTGAAAGAGAGGATTTTGGTGATTTGCAGATGAGGTCGCGGCAGGGGAGAGTGTAGCATCTAGTGTCGGTTTAGAGGTTGGGGAAGTCAACTTTGACGACGAAGGAGTGGCCGTTGTCTGCTTCGACAACGACAATGACTCTGCTACTGTATTTGGTAGCGAAGTGGCAATGGCGGCAGTGGCGATGGTGGTAGTGGCAACAGCAGTTGAGAGAAAGACGAAGGAGGTAGTGATGGTGGAGCTTCATTGTTGGTTTCTTCTGTGGTCTGGTGTATTTAAGTTGTAGGGGAGGTGACTGGTGGCAACGGGTAGTGGTACAGAGGTGGCTGGAGGTGAGAGAAGGTGGTTAGGGTTAGGATTTTCAGAGTTAGGGTTAGATTTTAGGAGAGAATATGAAATTTTGGACAAACGCATCTTTTTACATTATATTTAAACTACTAAATTAATTTTTGTCAATACTTACTCTATGTTAATTTAGATGACATAAATAATGACAGGGAGGTAAATTACAAAATAACTTAAATCACAAGGGGTAAGTAGTTATTTCCAAATAATAGGGGATAAAGTGCAAATGGCCTAAACCACAGGAGAGTGAAGTAGATTTTGCCCCTTTTTTTTTTTGTTTTTTGGTTACCTATTTTAGAGTCAATCTAGTTAAAAAGTATAATAATATGCTATAATTTTATTTTATTTTTTAAAATTAAGACAATGCAATTGAATGAAATCAAATAATTTATGAATAATTTTGACATGAATCTGAATTAACATGACACAATTCCTAACCTTGGCCCCTAAATTTTGTTAAAATTTAAAGGTTCAAGGTGACCACATTAATCGCCTAAACTCAGGACCGACTCTAAGTGCACATTATAGCATTACTCTTCTATGCATAACAAATTACATCAATTCTAATTAAATAACAAACGGGAGCTCATTGGCCACCAAATTTTTCTTAAGGGAAGGTTTTGAGTTACATTCTTAAGAATGAAATGGGAGACACTAGTTAAGTAATTACAAGGATATGGTAGAAATTCAACTCTACATATGTTAATCTAACGACTGAACATTGATTTTTCCTCACAAAAAAAAATAAAAAAAATAATATTAAATAATAATGAAAAAGGTGCCGATTAGAGAGAAGCAAATATTACCTCAATATTCTTTTCCCTCTCCACCATCACTTAACGCATGAAACTCAAACGTAGAGACGAGTGAGACCCCTCTTTCATGTTCAGTGTTCAACTAGAAAAGCTTGTTATATAAAGGTTTTTTTTTTTTTTTTTTTTTTTTTCCTTTTTTTTTTTTGCCTTCTCGTGCAAGTTACCCCTCGATATTCACATAGAAGCTGAAAGGAAGTCATCGAGAAATCTCTTCATCACTCTCTGGAAATTATTTGATGAGATAAAGTATTTGAACCAATGTTGTTACATCAAAGAATTATTGTACCATGGATCTCCACGAAACTTCTTCCCGTTAAACCATTAATAATAGATTAATTACTTAAAAGTCCTATTGATAAGGTTGGTATTTCATTAAGTCTTGCTTTATTATTTTTAACCCATAAAGTCTTATTTTCAAAATATTTATGTATGTATATGACTATTTTACCCTTATTAAAACGCGAAAGAAATTGAGAAGCGTTATTCATTGAGTACTAATAAAAATTATTAGATATTACAAGTGCACCACATGATAATGTTATCTACCAATCACAAACCATTATGCCTCATGTCCCAATATAAAATTGTGAGTCACACATTTTTCACCAATCACAATATTTTGATAACCACCTAACCATACCTCAAAAGTAATACATAATTTCTCTTATTCAAGTGGGTATGCTAAGGTGGCATTTATTTTTATTTTGTTGTTTGAAAACTTAAAAAATCCATCACTTTTATTATACATATTTATTTTTAATAAAAATTATATCTTGTGAGCCTACGCAATGAGATCTATCAAACAAGACAAATATTGAATATAAAATTTTATAAAAATAAATTTTTTTTTTTTTTAGCTATACAAAACTAACAATTTCTTAGTTTGCAAAAGTATTCAATAAAATTGAGAAATTTCTCAATTTTTTTCAATATATTAACTTCTTAGTTTTTTTCAATATTAATTAAAAATATTATCAGTTTTAAAATTGAAAAAAACTCAATTTTAAAACTGAAAAAAATTGAAAAAATTCTCAGTTAACTAGAAAAAAAAACTCTCAATTTAAAAAATGGAAAAAATTGAGAAATTTTTCAAAAACTGATAATATTCTCAATTTCAAAACTAGAAAAAAAAAAAAAAAAAAACTGAAAACTTTCCCAATTTTGCACAAAAATGTTCCATATAATTCTTTCGTCAAATAAATTTTTTGTCAATTGTCTTAGTTTCGTAATTGAGATATTTCTCAATTTGTTTATATATGTTTATATGTGAAAGAGATACTTTATTTGTTTAAAATTTTAATTTATGATTAAAAAATTAAGAAAATTGTAAATAAAAAATTAATATCATTGTGTTGATTCTATAAATATAAATTTTATCAAAAAATAAATGTCGATTGTAAAAATTTTGACATTTTGAAATTTTGAAAATCAAAATAAATGCCATATTACCATACCCTTTTATAAACATTTATAAATGATGAATAATCATTATTTGAAAAGAAATTCCATATTTTAAAAATTAATGATTTTGAAAGAACAACAAATCTTATCTAAGACTTAATGGAGTATAAGTTCATAAAATGGGACTTTGTTTGTTTCACTGGATATAAAATAGAGGATATAATATGATGTGGGATTTAGTTAGGATATTTAATGAATAGGATATAAGCATTGGATAATATACCCCTCAATTCATGTTTGTTGACTTGATATATAAGATTGGATATATATTATCTATGTTTGTTTTACAAAATATATCGTGGGATATAAACAAGTAATTTCCAAGATTGCCCTCATAATATTATATTATATTATATTAAATTATATTATATTAAATTCAAAATTTATATTAAATTAAATTCAATAATATTATATTATATTATATTATATTAAATTCAATTCAAAATTTGTATTAAATTATATTATATTAAATTAAATTAAATTAAATAATATTATATTATATTATATTAAATTCAATAATATTTATATTAAATTCAATTCAATTCAATAATATTATATTATATTAAATTCAATAATTATATTATATTAAATTCAAAAAATATATTAAATTATATTATGTTAGATAGACAAAAGGGTAAATTGGACTTTTTAAATCATATCCCAACCAAGGGGATATGATATAATGGGGGGTGGTGGTATTGTATATCCTCCACGTTTGGGGATATACAATCCCATAGTATATTATATCCCCTTTGGAAAAAAATTGCAAACATGGGATATGTGGACCCCACAGGATATAACATCTAATCTCACCCTTTATATTCTGGAATCAAACGCAAGTTGTCCACTTATCAACTTGTTTTAGTCGAGATATGTATAAGTTGTCTCGAATACCCGATTTTACTAAAAATAAAAATAAAAATAAAAAAATTAAAAAGCTTGCTACATTGCACCCAACATTTTCAACTTCAATGAAGACTTTTCCAAGGTGCTGGTATTAGGAACACGAGCTCTGCTAGAGAGCTCTAATTAGAGCTGCTCAAAAGCAGCTCTAATGAGCTGTCACCCTTAAAATATAAAAAATAAAAAAATAAAAATAGAGGGAGGTAAAAGACAAAACAAGAAGGGGAAAAGGACAAATTAATGCCCTTTTACAGCTCTAATTTTAGAGGTCTCACTCATTTCTATTAGGAACACATACATACCCATCACAGAAATTGGAAGGAAAGGTGCTGGTGTGAACACGTACATACCCATCATTAGGAACACATACATACCCATCACAGAAATTGGATAGAAAATGTATATGATAAGTTTTTTTCAAAGTGAATTCCACCGACGGATTCTATAGGATTTTGTCAATCCATGTATCTATCTTCTGTGTTTATTTTTTTATTGTAAGAAATGGTTTGGGAAAAAATAGATTTTTTTAAAATTTTGGTCTAATTTTTAGGTGGGACTCATGCGCTAAAGTTGGCGGATCCATGTGGCAACACGTTCTTTGCCGCGTAACGATTCACGTCGTATATTTGGTTGGTCAAAACCATTATTGGATGAATGAGAAATTGATGTCAAAGTGAGCTCCATGAAAATAGTGTGTATGGTGAAGTTTCCATAAAGAATGGGTTAAGGTTTGTTGTAGAACGTTTCATCTTGGGAGATAGACGTCTATAATCGGTTAGCACCCGAGAGAGGATGAATCTGTCTTAAGGAGACAGTGATCAACACTGGACTTTGTCACGCCCCACTTTTTATTACTCGAAGTCATTACCAAATTCATTAACTTAATTCAATTTCAAGGATAACATGCGGAAATAAACTCGTACATTCAATCCGTAGATGTGATTAACAATACTCTCATTCGTATGCAAAGTAAATATTACATGAACATACTTAATAAATTGCCCTTGGGCTTACATCACTTAAGGTACAAGAAGAAGGGTGTAACCCTTTTACAACAATGGCATTCCGCCAACATAACTGAGGCCCCGTGGCCAGTAAATAAGTAGATCCAAATCTTGCAGCTCAACCTGCTTTATACCTGAAAAGGATTCAACAACGTGGGATGAACATATAGTCCAGTAGGGAACTCAACATGATCCTCAACAATAACAACTTACAGATAGCTATGATCATGAACACTCATTCTCATACTAGAATAGTAATGTGGCAGTTTATATAAAATATATATGTATGAACTTTTCTTTAAAACGACCGTTTCATTCAACGCTACAAGTGGTTTATCTTTCCTTTTTCCTCTCATTAACCCCCATTCCCAATCTTTCATAACATTAACAAATACTTAGGAAGTAATCTTACTAAACCTGATACTCTCTTCCATTTCCTATACATACTCAGATGTACCTTTTCAAACATGTTTATCTTTAAAACATTCGTTCTCCTCCACACTTTCTCCAAAAGACAAAAATGACATTTTGGTTCGTTTCCATTTCTATCATAACTATACATGCATAACTTTGTAAAAATATAAATTTACAACCCACCAACATGTATACAATCAACCAATGGAGTAACTCGGTCCTCCGAACTGTAACCAATCAAAATCCATGATATTATCAGTTACAACGAAACAACAACAATCCCATTTCACTCTACTAGCTATGTGCGTAGTAAGCCAACAATACACCCCACTCAACAACATTAACAACAAGCCAGTTTACCAGGAGCTAGCCGGAGGGGTATGGTACCTTCGATTATTAGCGCAGTCAGTTCTCCAGGCGCTAGCTGGAAGGTAACGGTACCTTTGATTCTAAGCGCGGGGCATAACACCAACAATCACAGCACATCAAGGCATAACCAACATGTATGATGCATATACATAAACCATCAAGACACCAGCATTGTGTTAAAATATATGAACACATGACTATCTCCTTCCGAGCAAATATACATATATATAATGTATCTAGCACTTCATCACATATGATGTTCAATTAATCAATGGTAAAATGCATACCCACAATTCTACACAACCGTGTCATCCTCCACCGATGACCAAGGACAAACCTCTAGATGCATATAGTTAGTACATCTATTAAAAGACTCAAATATCATGAATCGCAAACCCAACAACAATATTAACATGGTAGTTAAAGATACAACTTCTACATGTGTGTTCAACACTCAAGATACAACAATCCAATTCTCAAACTTATTCCGAAAACACTTCCCTCATTTTCACAAAAACGATTCCATTTCCTTTTTGTTATCACAAAACCAACTCCACTAATCTTGTTTCCATAAAATCAACTCCAAAGCCATGGTTAATCCCTTAGGCATTAACACCCTTACCACACTCATTTTGACAAAAGAGATTTACACATAATGGTCAACAAACCCCCATTTTAATTTACCCAACCAAAATATAATTTAGGGCTTTTCTTCATTTAACTACAACATGCTAATTTATATTTTTTTAGCCAAGACAACAATCAATGAAGCCAAAACCATTCTCCACACCACCAACCCTAGGTTTATTTCATGATTTTCAAACAAATCCAACATGATACAATTTTCATGCAATACAAAAATTACCACATGTCTATCTATAGACGGAGTATTGAAAAAGAATAAGGAGAATCCCTACCTCAAATGGAGAACTCAAATAGAGAAGATGACCCGAAATCAAAGTGCTCCAAATCCCAAATTTCTTGGATCACAACGAAGCCCTCGACGATCAACACACTTCTTACAAAGGCCCAAGGTGAGGAAAACACTCTAGCTAGATCAATCCTAAGAGAGAAGTTAGGTTTTAGAGTGAGGTGCTCTCCAATGAAGGTTTCGAAAAAGTAAGAGAGAGAAAGGAAAACAAAAAGTGATCAAAAAGTGATTTCACGGACTGATATAAAAACAGGTCCGCCCGAGCGTACAACACCCCGCTCGAGCGTCAGACACAGGTTTACGCTCGAGCATCCAAAGATCCGCTCGAGCGCTGGATGCACTCATCCAGAATTTTCTGTAGACGTCCAAAATGCTGAGAGAAGGAAATTCACGCTCGAGTGTCCAAACTGCCGCTTGAGCGGAAAGGCAACAACAAAATCCCGCTCGAGCGTCAAATCACCGCTCGAGCGGAGAGACCAAAGCCTGGGCAAAATTTCTAAGCTTTAAAACACAACCAACTTATTTCCAACTTGCCCAACACAACCCAAAGCTCTACAACAAAGAGTAAGGGTTAGAATTAAGGATAAGACAACAACAAATCTACAGAACCAAGTCCGGATTACAGTTCAATAACAACAAGAAATACCGGGATCGCTATAGACTTGATCTAAATATCTGACAAAATAATACTGTAAGTAATTCGATTACTTTTCTATTTTTTATTATTTTTCCTTTTCAGATTCTGGTTTTGTTTTTGTAACAAAATACGAATCTATTTTTCTTAATTTATATATATATGTTGTTCTGATTTTTGTAATCAAACAGTCTCTTTCCATTCCTTAATCCATTTTTCGAATACAGTGACGATTGTCCAACTATCTTAAGACATAACATTTTTTTTTTGTTTTCATTGTATTAATAAAATTCGTTTTATAAATTTTTTCTATTTGAATACAATAAAATAATTTTCTAGTTTTTGTAACAAGAAAATTATTCAGTGTGTTTGGTTTGAGTTTTCTGGATTAAATTTTTTAAAAATTGATTTTTTGTTTTTCGTGCTTTTTTGTTTTTAGTGAATATTTTTAAAATTTTAAACATTTTTTTTAGTTTTTTAAATGCACCTCACTTAGATGTATCTAAAAAGTAAAAAATTTGTGAAAAAATATTTTTAAAAAATTAATAAATACATAAAAATACAAAAAATATACTGAATTCTCATTTTTTTTTTGTATTTTTAGTATTTAGTGAATTTTTAAAAGGTTTTTTTCATAAATGTTTTACTTTTTAGGTATATTTATGTTAGGTATATCTAAAAATTAAAAAATATATTAAAAATATTAAAAAAAATCATGAAAAACAAAAAAATACGAAAAATAAGAAAGTAGAATTTTCTGAAAACTGTTTTCAGAAAAACGAAACCAAACAAGCTGATTGTGTTGTGTTTTATTTTTCTGGTTTTAATAACTAGGAAAAATAAAATTATTTTGTGTTATAATTTATTTTCTGGTTTTAGTAACTAAAAAATTAATTTGTGTTTTGGTTTTGGTTTTTCTGATTTTTGTAATCAGATACTATGGCTACTGCAACTGAAAGTGGTACTTCAATTCCGATTGTTACAACGACTCCAGTCCTTATCTAGAACCATGTTCAAGTTCTAATAAATCATAGAGAATTTAACCTGAAGGTCATGGAATTAATTTTAATGTATCAGCAATAAGCACCATGACAAGTACAGCAAACTTCTGGTTGCCCTTGTACTACCATCCAGATCTCTGTTAAGAGAAATTCTGAAGTCTATTTGATGACTCAGAATAAGTGAAGGCTGGAGAAATTTGAATTCAAATGCTAGAAAAATTCTGATCCTTACGCAGTTTTGAGGTTTAAAATTGGTTTCTCAAACTATGTGTTTAAACTACATTTGTTAGGCAATCTGATAACTCAACCTTAGATTCCTTCTAGTTTTCTGCAAAAGTTTCAAATTTGGTGTCAGATATTATACAAAGAATATATAGTGCATTAAAGGCATGGAGTGTATCAATTGGTTCCAGATTATGCTGCAGTAGTAAAATATATTATGTTTTGATTCCATGTTCTAATAAATTTTTGTTCCAATTTTTCTATGATACTACAATTATGGTGGAATCCAAGCTAGAATCAATAATGAAACATTAGAAGGTATTTCTGAACTAGAAAACGGAATTGTGCATGATGAATCTCAAGTGGATATTGTTTCAAGCTGGAATATTCTGAAAACTTACCTAAGGCAACTTAGGTAGTCACCCAACTATTTTTTTTTTCTATGTTACTAGTACCTTTAAGATATAAGTGATATTGAAACATCACTTTATGAAATTTAATATGACATAGTTAAATTGAATCATTTAATCACAAGCTTCATCTGCTACTATGTATTATTTTATATGATCTTCTTTCTTCATATTCTGACTGATATCACTGTCTTTTGGGCTGTTATACAGAATCACTTCATCTTGATTGTCTCTGAATTTATGTATATTCATGGAAATATGCACGAGAACAAACTGCAATTAAAGCATCTTTGAGGGATGCAACTTATGCACTCCATCAATAACTGCTGCAGCTGTAGAAACTTTCGAGTCACACAGGACAGAATATCTAACGAAGAGAGTATGAAATAGGATTTAGTTGCCAAGGCTTGTATAAGTTCTTGATTCCTCCTGTTGCTTATATTCTGTTCATGTAAATTGTATTTTGCAGATCAATTCTTTCTTTGCAAATAAACTTCTAAGGATTGTTTGTGATACCGTTCTTCATATGACAAGACATTAAATTAAATCAAAATTCATGGGGTTTGTCTTGATATTTTTACCTATTATTTTTTGGCGAATGTTAAAATATGATTTGTGGATATGTTATTTTGTGGTTAATGGTGATTGGATATTAAATTGAATGGGGAAGTGAATTAATGTTGTATTTGCTACCTGACAACTTTTCATAAAATTGGCTTATTTGAATGGGAGTGGGAGTTATTCTTCTACATTAATGTTATTTTTCCACCTATTACAGGTATTGTTTTAGTTCAACCAAATAGAATTAGCACAATTTCAAAAAAATAATTAAAAAAATATAGACATAATGGCGCTTTTCAAAATGCCACAATATGCACTGCAGGAAAAATTTCCTTTACCGGCGTTGCAAAAACGCCGCTATAAGTGGTAAAAACGCCGCCAAAGTCTATGCCGACGTTTTTACATTACGTCGCTGATACGGCCGTCACTATAGGTATAAGGCGTTTTATAAACGTCACTGATGCTTATAGTGACGTTTTCATAAACGCCGATATACTATTTAATCTGCCCAAATAATTCAGCCAAATATAATTGATGACGTCACGGAATATAGTGGCGTTTTGAACAAAAACGCCATCTTTTTTTCCTTTATTTGTTAATTTAATTAATATAAAAATATGCTATGAGGTGGTTATTTACATTCCATTCACATTCCAATTTGTACAAAACACATCATACCAGAAAATAAGAATAAAAGTTGATAAAACCATCAAATTCAATATTTTACATAACAATTCGACTGTACATGTTCATAAAAAGCATATTTAAGTTATAAAATTCATCCCAATCTTTAAAAAACAAAAAAAACAAAAAAACCAAAAAAATCTGAAATTCACCAATCAGCACACCAAGGAAAACCTGTTTCCATCAGTGAAGGACTTATTGACTTTTGTAGAGCCAGTGTTGTTCTGAGGCTTTCTGGTTATATCCCCCACTTTCTGTTTCTTTGAATAATTGGATCGAGTCAATTTTCTGGCACTGTTCTTTGAAGAATCATCCACTGTGGTAATTGAAGACAAATCCACCCCTTTCTATACCTTCCCAAGAGTTCTCTTTCTGGAAGCATCTGTTGAGGCCAGAGCTCTCTCCTTCTGCAAAACTTTCCTTTTGCTCAAGAGTAGCTCTAATGCTTGTCTTTCCTTATTTTGTCCATCATCTGGGAACTTTATGTGGTTTCTACTTGGAGTTCTAATTTCATCATCAATCTCATGTTCTCTAGTAAAAGGAAAATTTTAAATAATTAATTTGCAAGCCACTGCAGAAAAAATAAAGGAGAAAAAGAATAAGGGCACTTACAAGTAATAAATCAAAATACGGTTTGGAATAAGACCTTCCCAAGCCCTTTGCAGGATGCCCTCATCCTCCAGATCTTCAAAAGTAATATTCCTGATCAAAGTAAACCAAGCATCAACCATTGAAAACTAGTAGTTAAATTAGACCATACGTTTTCATGATAGCATTCAGAAACAAGTGGAACATTGTGGAAACATTTAAATGGTTACCCCGGCAAGCATTTTCTGTGGTGCGACTTGGAACAATGTCTGCAAACTGCAAATTGCAAATCAGGATCCAACTTATTTTCACCCTGTTTGCAGACAATGCATTTATGAATGGGACATGTGAAAAATTCCCCAGCAGCTATCTTCTTCCGAAGCTCTTCTGCCTCAGCTGCACTCTTACGGTGGAGCAGTTTTGCAACACAATGTGGATGGTAAAAGAGACCACATGTTGCAGAAACACAGGGAAAGACCCACAAGGTATTTAGAAGGTAAAATTTTAGGCAAATCAGATGCAGATCCAATCACTGCTCACAATGAGGTCAAGAAAGTCAAGCAACATAACTCACTATAGAAATGTGAATTGGCATGCTAATATATTCACCTCAATTATGGAATTCTAATCAGTTATTAGAAAACTAGAAGGAATTAGTAATCCAGAAATGCATATTAAAATCAAATCAGGAAAACAGAAGTAAATAGACTCATAAATAAACTCAAATTTCTAATCTGTCTTTGGGAAAAGAAAAACAGAAAAGAAAAACAAAAATACAACCCAACAACAAGACTTCTAGAACAAATAGAAAAAAATAAAAAATTTGATCACCGTCAAAATCTCTTTACAAAGCAAATAAAATAAGCAAAATAGCATGAAGAATAAGGAACATAAAACCAAAGATGTGATCCAAAATACAAAGGGCAAGACCAAACTATCCCAAGAAGCATCTAGACACCCTAATGGAACTCAAGCTAGCAGATCAAACGAGCCAAGCATACAGACAGCATTATGAAGACTAAGATATATGTTTCATGGAAAATAAATACCATAAAAGAGGAGAAAAATAGGAGGGGAGGAGAATTATGCAACACAAAATCATCCAATATGACTTCACACAGCATCTCCAGGGATTGATTGACTCATTAATAATTTAAAATAATTATTCTATCTCATTTCAAAATATTCGTTGAAATTTAACCAAGAGGATTATTTTAAATGTTGCTCTAGAAACACTAAGTGGCTAAATTTTGCTCTTGATGGAATACCTTCAATTTTTATAATGATAATAGCTAAACTTAACCAAAAAGAATTCTATGAAGATCCAATGGGGAAAATGTACAGTCAACATTTAAATATTAGTTCAATTTTCCAGAAGAACTCGTACCTTTGCACCAAACAATTTATCAGAAGAACCTAATTCCCCACAAGAGAAATACTGATGGTGCTTCTTTTGATAGTTCTCACAGAAAAAATTTTGTATTGCCTGTAAAATCAATTATAAATGCTCTCCAAAATTTCCAACAACTTGCCACTTTAAAGATCGGATCTAATTTCAGCCCCACTTCGTCTACTAACCTCAAAACCTTTCCACTGCCTATTATAGGACTCTATCTACACGCTTTCCTTTTCCCAACCCAACCATAAAGCTAATCATAAGCAGCTTTTTGTTCAGTTCTTTTTACCAATGAAGCTTGATCTATCAATATGTAACATGTTCTCACATAACAACATTAATAAATGTAGAATGAAACATTTTGCATTCAGAACTGGTTGAATATGAGGTTACAAACTTACAAAGGTAGTAGTAGTGGTAGTAACACCAGTAGTAGTAGAAGAAGAAGAAGAAGAAGCAACAAAGATGGAAGATAAATTTAATTAAAATTAAAAAAAAAAGAAAGAAAAATGAAAAAGAAAAAGAACAAGAATAATATGAGCTAAAAGAAAAAAATAGCAACTATTAGTATACCAAAGTATCTCTAGCATCAAATGTAACAAAAAAAAACTCCAGAAATTTGCCACCGGACAGAAACTAATAAATAAGTTACAAATACATGTGCAGACTTGACACTACAGTACTCCTTCAATAAACAGCAATATAATGGATAACAGGGAATTGACCTTTCGGTTTGGGAACAAGATGAGGACTCCAAAGATATCCATAAGGTACATCTGGGGAACTATAAGAACCACTTAAATATGTCACAGGTCTCAGCTTCAATTTTTTCTTCCTAAACTCATTTATAATGTCCCATATTCCAAGCCAAATTAGTGCATCAACAATTTGATATGATAGCTGCAAAAAACATTAATCTTCATTTAGAAATGGAAACAAATAATAGAAGCATTCTTTTGAAATTAATTGAGACCCAATAGATTATTAAGACATAAACGCAAAAAAAAAAATGTAGAAGAACAGGCTTACTCTATATCCAACTTCTTGTTTGACACGAGAAAAAGGATGTGGAAACTCGCTGGTAGGCCTGGAAAAAAAAATGTTCAATAAACACGCCTACTTAACTCAGTAGTGCACAGAATGTACGCCTAAAATTATATAGAGATTAATTTACGACGCTGGAATAAGTAGGAAACTTAAAACAACAGTACAGATTTGTCAAATTAACATTTTAAGCATTTAACCAGCTCCCCCTCCCCACCCAAAAAAAAGAAAAGTAAAAAGCTTACGTCCATGGCATTGTGAAAAATACATGGAGTGGTACTTTTAGTGCCTCTGCAACATGCGTATGTCCTGAAGAAGTATTTTTTCACATGAGGAATCAGTTGAAATAAATTTTATCAACACTTCAGATTATGAAAATCGACAGATTATTCAGCACAAGAAAAACAAAAAACAAAAACTACAACAAGAAATAACAAAGAATACAGATTAAAGAAATGTCCACTTTAAATGGAACTCTAGTATCCGGATCAGGATCCGTGCATGCAGGAAGTAAGGAGAATATGATTTCCTTTATTTGATTTCGCTGAATGGGTATTTCTGAAGGTCCAGATGGCAAGAACCCTTTATTTTTTACCATGTCTGCACAAAGAATACAGATTAAAGAAATAAATAACTGAAGGGGCACTTGGAGTTGCAGTACCAGATGATTTCATGTCTAGTTATCTGTTGTTACATCTTCCTTTCAACTTTTACTCAAAATGCAATCTACGTCAACTTTTACCTTCTTAAAAAAGCTTCCACTTTTTAATTGGTCATTAGTTACTCAAGGAGATGGAAGTAGTCCTGCCGGAGATACCCACCCACTAATACCTCTAGACAAGGTTTTCTATTCAATAATGTTTCTCTTATCGACAAGTATAATAGAGAAGATTCATTCATTTCAAAAAGCCCACAAATTTAAGCAGCGCATTGCAAGCAAAATATAAGAACTATAAATTCCATACAAAAAACTGAAACTAAAAACTCCATATCTAATAAATCAAGTTCTGAACTGGTTAACTTTATAAGCCAATCTCTCAGGACAAGGAGATCAAGAATGCAACCTTGTTCAATAACTCTTAATCAAACTAAGGAGTCTAAAAGAGAAAACAAGAACTATGCAAACTATACAAAAAAAAGAAATGTACAATTGATGGTACCATGAATAAAGTTGAACAAAAAATGGTTAAAACATTTCTTGAAAAACAAAAACAAATACAAAAACAGAGACTTAAGTCATACCCTTGAGAGGCGAGAAGAACAAGAACAAGAATATCCAAGTTTATATCTTCCATTTTCATATATAAGAGGAAGAAGCAAACTCCAAAATTTCTCAGTCGCACTTTACCAGTCAATTACGCACAAAAACCAACACTCACAGAACCTGTACTGTACAAAACCACAACCATTCAGAAACATGAAGTCAATCTTGATTAATGTGATGGACCAACAAACATATTCGTGAACTTTCACCATAAGAAAAAACTTACAGATCATTAGAAAAAACACACAGAACCTGTACTGTACAAAACCACAACCATTCAGAAAGATGAAGTCAATGTTGATTAATGTGATGGACCAACAAAGATCACCACGAACGAGTCAGAAATAGAGTCGGTTTGAGGATGTTAATATGCTTTGAGATCGTAGATCAATCGATCGATCGATAATCGATCTGTGTTCTCTTTAACATAAATTAGTCTATATATAAATCAAACAGATCTGAGATTGTAGATACAGATCTGAGATCGAAGATACAGATCTGAGTTCGTATATAAACAAAATCAAAAAATCAGAAAATGAGACTCACAAAATTAATCTTCAAATCGGACTGATCGAAAGCTTTGAGCCAAGATGGAGAGAGCCGGATAGAGATTACGATCGTGAATCGGAGCCTACGATGCTCAATCTAGTGAACTTTCACCATACGAAAGAGGAGTGATGAAGAAAACCCTAGATCTATCTCGGGACTGAGAGAAACGAGTGGGCTAAAAAAAGGAGAAATATGTGAATACACCCAGCACGCGTGTTTTTTTAAATGAGTTGCTTACAAAATATTTTGAAAATCGTTTTGAAACAACGGTTTTTAAAAAAACGCCATAACAAAAACGTTGTTATAGGCCAGTTTTCTTGTAGTGATGCCAACGTTTAGATTTCTTCTTTTTAAAAAAAAAAAAAAGTTATGACGCCATTTTTGAAACATCGCTAAAAATTATTGTGACATCACTTTACCGTTATGTACCACATTTAGCGGCACTTTTTAAAGCATCACATTACGCTTTTTAAACGCCTATAATAATTTAACAAAGTTTCTAAAGTGCCACAATGCTACAGTGGCTATCGCATCTTTGGCATTTGATGCTAAGCGTCACAAAAAGAATTAGCGACGTTTTTGACACTTATAGCGACATTTTTTAAATGCCGCTAAAAGCCAAATTTCCTGCCATGTAGGTACCGTACTCATTGCAACAAGCTACAAAGATGTAACTACATGCAAACTCTAGAACAGATAAAAAATAAAAATTATAAATTATAAAAAAAGGACCAAATGCATAGTGACTATTTCTTGCAATTTGCTAAAACAAACACAGAACTACATAGAAAAATAAACGAAAAGCATCATGGAGCTTTTCTCTTCCAAGCAAATGCATAAATTGCATGGCCTGGCTCATTGTGCATAAAAAGAAATTGGCTGAGGTAAACATTCATCTTTGACACAGTTAAATTTGACCGAGTTTGATGGTTTAGAAGTATTAATTACGATGGACCTCGTAGCTCAAAATGTTCATAATTGCTTGTATCCCCGCCAGCAACAGTAGAACACAGGCTGTGACGACTGAGATAGATCTCCACGGATTGCTAAAATAGTTACGCCTCAAAGATGCCCAGTGGCTTCTATAGTAGGCCTCCACATCTCTGAATTGCTTAGAGAGGTAAAGATCTCTAATATTGAACTCAACATTTTCTCCCAATTTTTTGAAAAGATGAGCAACACGTAGATCATTGTAGGAGGAATTGGCGATAATTCCATCATCACAAAGGAATGTAACGTCTCTAGCTGAGTTGATGAGACAACTCATGAAGGCAATATATGCAGAAAAGCATGTATGGGTATGTTGGAGGCATTGTTCTAAGGCGGCACAATTGATGAAGGCGGTATTGGTGAAATCATTGATGGTTATAGGTTGGATTTCTAGCACCCCTTGGTCGAAATTTATCTCCAAGAAGCTATCACTAGTGCTTTCGGCTGGCCTGAACTTTATCCCAGTAAGTCGAAGTTGTGTCACACATGGCATTGACCGATTACACAATGGGCTACTATATTCTTGTGATCCATGTGATGTGGAAGGAGAGTAAATAGATCCCGACATTTGTTCAAAATATCTTGCCGGTTGGAAGCTTTCGTGAAACAAGTCGAGTAGATGATAGCCTTCCAAAATTTTCAATTCTTTTGCTCTTTTGAGTGAACTACGTGACATTGGGAGGGCAAGACGAAAGAATTTTAAAGCGGGCAAAGTAATGATGGTGGGGTTCTCATCTGAAAGAAATTCTCTATGGGGGTCATGGTCACCATTGCCAATGGAGAAATCATATAGCTTCTGAAGAACGAATAAAGGAAGTTGGTTTTCAAGCTTAAGGAGGTCTCTCATGATGATTAGGATGTTGGCATTTTCAGAACCTTGACTCCCACAAACTTGATGGAAGAGCTCAACAATAAAGCAACCATCAAGTACCATCATATCAATGAAATCTTTGCTTGACATTGGAATGGGCTCTGAGTAACAACTTCTTGCCTCGCTCTCTAATCCTTTCATGGCCTTCATTAACTGGCGTAAATCGACCCCCATTGCCTCCGTTCGAGAAAGCAGGGAACAAAGATACTGGCATTTGTAACTTTCAAATCTTCGGACTTGATCTTTGCCGTAGTGATAAGGTCCTATTGACACCATTTCTGGGTCAATAGCAGCCTTGCCACTGATTTCTCTGAAGCTTTGAGGTGCTCTGAATATGCAAACAGAGCTCCTAGTTTCCGAGATTTGGATTCTGCTTCCACCAAAATCTTCCAAGCGCTTTTGCATGAGAGCAACAGATGCATCATCGATGGATTCCTCTGTTTCATTAGTAGATCGAATTGACGATTCATCGTCACTCTCTAATTCTTCTATTGGGATGCAATGATGTTCTATATTCTCCATTTTTTTTTCTCTTGCTCCAGCACTAATCAAAAACAATAAAGTAAAATAAAATTGTTAATTTCATATATAGGTACCTTTAGTGGCGGAGCTAGGAAATTAAGTTAGAGAGAGCACTTATTAATTATAATTTTTTATTTTAAAAGAAAATCATGAGCAACATTAAGATAATAATAATTTTATGAGTTAAATTTAAACATAAAAAATTGCATATTTATTATTAATAAGAACAAATCAAAATTCAATAATAGTGTGGAATAGCTCGGTGTGGGATGATGATGCAAGTTTGCAATTTTAGTACAAAAAATTATGGGTCAAAATTTTTAATTTTAAACACATCATTTATAACACAAATTATTATCAAATCTACTTAATTTTTATTTGACAGAAAAATATTAAAGAGATGACATTACTTATAAATGATGTGTTTTGAATAAAAATTATTAAACAGTCTTAGAGTACCATATGACGTTGCATACGTGATACTCAAAACATAAAAAATCACAAATCACACTAAGTGATATGTCAACTGCTTGAAAATAATGAGTTCATTATATTCAATCTATAATATTTTTCACTACACTATTGATTTAAACTACTACATAAACAATACCACATAATATTTCCAAAGTATCAAATAACTATTTATTGTAAACAATACAATAAGCCTTTAACCAAAGAACATGTTAAGAAAAAAAAATACATTTTATACATGACAATCACACACAAAAAAAAAAAATGTTTGCAAAACTAAGGGGGGCATGTGACCCCCTAGGTACCTTCAACTTGCATGTAGCAAAAATAATAATAATAACAATAAAACATGTCACTAATCTGAAAGTTATAATTTTTTATCACGAAAAAGGGATATAATAATAACAATAAAACATGTCACTAATCTGAAAGTTATAATTTTTTATCACGAAAAAGGGATTAGATTGTCTCTAATTGGGCAGCTCAACTAGGGCCCATTTTGGGTCCATATCGATAATGCGAACCGTTCAATATATAGAACTCGTCAAGTACTTCATTTCTGTAAAAAATCACATTGATTAGATATCGATAGCCACTTGATTAGGTCACATTTCTATCAACAAATTTTTTTTGAATCATATTTACCATTGATAGAAATGCGAACTAATCAAGTGACTATGGATATCTGATCAACATGATTTTTTGAGAGATGAAATACTTGACGACTTCTATACATTGAACAGTTCAGCTTCTCGATTTGGGCTTCATGGTGAGCCCATAAAGGTCTAATAGTACGATTTAATCTGATTAGGACTGGAGACAAGCCTAGGCTCATAAAAAAATGTAAAACTTGTTTTACAAAGCGGCATAACTTTGTTATTCGTAAATTTAAGGTGAACACCTTAACTCCGTCATCCATAAATTTTATAACAAAATGACATAACACACAATAAATATTCATAATTTTCATAATAAAATGATTACTTTTCTTACAATATACACTTTTAAAATGCACACAAGGTCGGCTAGTTAAGGTGAAACCTTGAAATTGGGCAATGAGTTAAGGTGCACATTGACATCGTCATTGATAACTTTTACAACAAAATATATTTATAACTTTTCTTATGATGCACGCTTTCAGTTATTCAGGATTCGAGGCGAAATCTTGAAATTTGACCCTTTATACATAATTATAAATAAAAATAAAAAGTGTTTAGACAAAATGATAACTATTTATGATTTTCTTTTTTTTTATTTGTTAATATCCACACAAAATTTACTTACACATATGATCACCATAATTATATACTAAATTTAGTTACGTAGATCAATACATGAATAAATCATTACAATGACTAAAAACAAATAAAAATATGGTCTTGTTTTAGATAGGGGAAAAATATTGTCTTGTTAACATTGGATATTATAATTAAATATATAAAATAAAATTTGAACAACCACAACAAATTATTAATTAAACATTATTCATATGTAGTTTTGGATGCATACTAATTATGCGTCCATAATTTTTAATAGCTTAGATTGTGAATTTAACTTAGTTAAATGGAAGCCTTATTTTTGGCCCACAAATACTATAAAAGGTAAATTATACGTTGCCCCCTTGATGTTTGATTATTTTTCACTTTAACCTTTCAAGTTTATTTTTTTTCACTTTAGCCCTTTATCTTTCAAATTTCCTAATTTACTCCAAAAGTTAACTTGTATCCAAAGTTAGATAGGAAATGACAAGTTAGACAACCACGTGGCATAGGAATATTCTATAAAACTTACACCGTTGACACAAATTCAAATTTTAATATAATAATTGTAGGAAGGGAGTTCAAGAAAGGAGTTGGAAAATTCGAAGATCTTTGAAGAACAACTTCGAATTCTCTAGAATATGATGAGAGGCTTAGATTCTTCAATAATCTCAACTTAGGAACACAACAACAAAGGAGATGACGGAGATAAGAGATTGGGTGAATAAGAAGGCAAAATGGCTAGAGAATAGAATAATGGCAAGGCTCTCCCATGGATCTCCCACTTTCACTCTCAAGGTTGATAATGGAGAAGGGAAATTAGTTCTTTCCCAAGAGTTAAAAAAAAATCTCCAAAAATTCATCCCTTGTAAAGCTATGACGTGAGGTGCTATTTATAAGCACCTCAATGATGTAGATGGAGCCCATGTGCATAGGCACTATGAGGATATTCTCTCAAACCACCTTGTCCGAGCGAGGTGACCTCTCAGAGGATGTTGACTTCTCGCGAGGGATGAGAAAACCGAACGCAGAGTCAATTCCTCCGCGAACCCTTCTTCTTAGACACACCTAACCAATGATCCCCAATCATCCCAAAGGGTCAGGGTAGTCCCAGAGACGTCTTGCCG